TGATTATTCCGTCGCGACCTGCTTTGTATTTATACGACGCGAAGATTTACGGAATCATACGTACTTTACCGATTGCTTTAAAATTTACTTTTCGAATATAATAATTAATATTTTTTCATATTTTAGATTTTTATTGTTAATTTATGCATCCTATAATTCATTACATGTATTAATAACAATTAATATATATTTTTACAAACTAAGTTGCTGTTTTATGATCTTTTCTTTCGATTTTTCTTTTGTTGTATTAAAATATTCTGAATATTTTAAATATTTTTTGTTTATTTATATGTATATTCAATTTATGTATTTATTAACCTATATATTTATTCATTTATATAATAATTTGCATATTTATTCTTTTATTTCATAATGATTCTTTTATATATTTTCTTTATTTATGCATGCATCAATTTATTTATTTATTATTTATTTATTTATTTATTTATTTAGAATTATGTTCACTTAATTTTTTTAATTATTTATTCATGCATTTATTCTAATGACTTATTTTAATTTATTATTTTAAGCTAAACTATTTTATTTTGTTTACTTAATAACATTATATATCATATAAAATATCATATAAAATAAACACAAGAAAAAAGTATGTACAAAAAGGTTCATAAATAAATGAATAAATAATAGTTTCTTAAATAAATGAATAAATAAGTAAACGAATACATTTAATGAATACATTGAATCTGTGCTTATACTTTTTATAATGAAATTAAATTTTATTTCCAACTATTATTAACGATTAAATAACAATAATTATTTTATTATATTATTGTGAATTATTATTATATTATACTGAACTTGGGATATCTAAATTCCTATGAAAAAACATTACTTAATTATAAATCTATTCTATATTTCAATTATGATTTTACTCTTTTATCTCTCAGAAGCATCAAAAACAAATAATGAGAGAAGAGTATGAGATAATTAATAATTAAAATTGGAATTAAAATAATCTATAAAATTTTGTAGATAAGAAAAACTAAACATAGACAAGAAAAACAAATAATAGGAAAAAGGAGTGAAATAAAGTAAAAATTAACATAGCAGTGCTATTTCTTGATCACTAAAAATATCTTTTAGAAAAATGTTTTAGCATTCAAGAGATAGTGTTAATCTCTAATTCTTATTCTACCTTATCCTATTTTGAAAAGATATCGTTAACTTTCGATAGATGACGTTAGTTTTCAATTCCTATTATATCTATCCTTCTCTTATTATTTTCTGTCCTTTCTTTATGTGTTTCATTTGCGGCACTCTGAAGATGACGCTGATTTCAATATTTTTGCCTTATCTCTATCCTTCTCTCACAAATTGCTGTCCTTATTCATACTGTTCTATATTACTTTATTCTTGGTGCATGACCACCATATAAGCTATATAAGATATCAATCAAATGCATTTTCATTATTTCTTTTCCAAAATTAAAATATTATTTAATTTTTAACAAGTATAGATATTACATTCTTGACCTGTGTATCTGATATATAATACGAAACATCATTTGGTGACAGAATAGTGCAACTATATTGCATCATTTATCATTTAAAATTCCATTAAGAAAAATAAGAAGGAATTTGAAGCATTTTATCGTAAAACGATGTTATCAAAGATTTGTTTATCAAATCTATTCTTTTATTATTTATATTCTACTTTCCTAAAACTTATAGTTAAAACATAAATTGTTATCGAATACACGATAAAAAAAAATTATACAAGAATTATTAATTCGTCAATTATATTTATTTATAATGTGTCTGCAGAATATATTTGAACTTCAGAATGTATATCTCATTGTATTTTATTAATTTTTTAATTTGTAATTATTTTATATACAAATGATATTAAAATATTTGGAAAGATTGTTTTAAAAAATATTATATCCAAAAATTTAAAAAAATATAATTTTATTCTTGGAAATATAACACGATATGTTAATTTTCATAATATAATATCTTTTCTAATTTTTAAAATACTTTGTTATAAGTAAATTAAAATAATTGCAAAATAAAAGTTTATTCCAAATCTTTGCTTAATAAAAACATTTTTTAATAGTTGTGAAAAAAAAATGTTACAATACATATGATATAATAATGTGAAACAATAATAATCTGGAATAATCATTCTAATTACTCGTTATATATAAATTATGTATAAAATACATGTAAAATATTTAAAATATTAATATATATACCTAAAAATGATATATTAAAATGAAATTATTTTTTTTTTTATTATTATAATTTTATATTGAAATTTAATTTTAATTTCATTCATTATATTATAACGTTACAATCTTATCTTAAGCCGAATCGATAACGTTAAGAATGTTTCCAAACCTAGAACAGAAAATGCATTGCATTAGATTTCGTAGCTTTATGGTGAAAATTTAAATTTGATAGGAAGATTATGCAAATCATACATTTTATGAACATATCATATATCATTCAATGGACGAGATTACATAAATCCTAATTTTTTTCCTGAATAACTTAAATTTACGTAATTTCCTATCATCATTTTTTATTTAAAAAAAATATAGCAGTATATATTTAATAAATTATACTTATATATGATTTCATATAGTTATTTTTACAATAATAAAAGTATTTAATAAAAATAAAAGTTTTGAATAATTTTAGAAATATAATATTATGATATATAAATTCTTGTTTTACAACAGAAAATCTATCTTCATCCATACTTTGCATGCATCTTTATTTCACAGTAGTCTGAAACCTGTTTAGTTTTAAAAGATATACATGAAATATAAAAAAAAATTGTTCCCTTTATCATTTTTATCTTTTTATTCAGCTCTCTCTTTGCAACTTCCTTTTCAACTTCCCCCAATCTCTTCTAGATACAATCAATATAAATATCTCAAGTTTCATTCCTTTTTAGTTATAAATAAAACTTTTTTATCAAAGAAAGGAAAGGAGAAACAGTAAAAGAAGGAAAATATTTTGAAAAAGAAAGAAAAAATTTTTTCTCTCTCTAAAAAAAAAAATAAATTCTCTCAGGTTTTTCCCAACTTCTCTAATTCTCGCCAACTTTAAACGTACAATTGATATGCAAATGAAATTACGAATAGATAAAATTTTTTCCTGTAAATCAGTGGCACACATTCACATATGATTCCTTGAAACTGGCATCGTCATTCCTACTCCACAGAATATAAATAAAGGAATATATGGTGGCCGTGAAATATTTTTTAAATATTTGAAATAGTCATTTATATAAATGACTTTTTATTCGCGCAATGTGAAAACGAAAAAAAAAAAATACAATTAATATATTGTAATAAATTATATTGCTTATTGTCTACTCACGGATGATTATATCGATGATTATATCATTAAAACTTGTAACATAAATTAGCATGAATTAACGATTCCCTTGAATAGATAAAACACTTAATATATTTGAATATTTCGCACAATTCGAAAAAAAAGTATATATATATTTATAAATATATCTTATGTTAATAAAATATATAAAATAAAAAAACGATATTGATAAAAAATCTGGATTGTCTTACAAAAATATTTTATCAAATATAATAGTCAGTATTTATTAAAATTATTTTTCGTTGTACAAATATTAAATAAACTAATTGTTTTGTGTCATTTTTTTATTCTTTCCTGTTTTTTTAATAGTAATTTAATTTCAATTTTTAATAATATTATACATTTTGATTTTTTAATATCATCAAATTATCTTTCTGTTCTACGTCATAATCATGAGTAAGCTTTTACAATTTTCTTTATATCTTTTATTTATAAAAATTGATTGCTTTTGCAATTTCTTGAATTTAATGCATCTACTTTTTATAAAATGCATCTTTTATTATCTATATAAAATTTCCATTTTTCACTGTGATTTTTCTAGTTTTCTTCCTAGTTTTCTTTAACATAAAAAGAAATTATTTTGTTGCTGATACGAAGTTTTTCAATTTTTCTTTTCCATAAATTTTTGAACCTTTCCTAAAATTATATCTAATGTCGTGACTCTTGTATAACAAATTTATAATTTTCACGGTTAAAATCCTTCGATCGTCGTTAAAAATCTTCGATCCATTTCTTATTATTTCGTAAATTTAATGTTGTAAATAAACGAAAAATTTACACGTTTGTTTGTTCTAATCATTGCTGACTAACTACTGATAGGAAAGAAAAGAATAGAAAATATGTCAAGTACTTATTTTTATCGATCCAAGTCGGCTCGTGTTCAGTTTTTCCTCTTTTTTTTTTTTCTAGTAAATTCTTTTTTTCTTTTTTTTTTTCTAATCATACAAATTTAAAATTCAAAACACAAAATGATTAATTTTAACGGCATATCTCCATACACACTATTGTTATTACGTTCAAATATACCAAGTATTATTTCCTCCAGAATAATTCGGTCTTTCGTAAATGATATTTCCGCCTCATCCTTCGTTCTATTCGCCATCGAAAATGGTTTTTCCGCAATGATTCCCGATTGTGTTCCAATGAATTCAAAATCCACTTATCTATCTGTGCAAACACGCGAAGAAAATGCCTCGTATCACTCGCAAGCATATAAAATCCTCAACTCGTGTAAATAATTCCATTTACTCTTCCACAATTCCTTTGAAATATCTTTTCGCGAGGTGAAACATTTCGAATTTCGAAATAATAACGATTAAAAACATTTGAAAAACTTTGACGAAATACCTTCGTAAACTTTTATTTTAACTGGTATTTTTATCTCATGCATAATCATGCAATTAAGATAAATTATCCGATATTTCTAATTACGATCGCGCAAAATATTTACAATTCTCTCGTTTCTTTCTTTCTTTCTCCCTTTTTTACATTTAAAAAAAAAAGGATTAAAAACACGTAGAACGCGAATATTAATCAAGATAGAGTTACTTTCTCGATTCTCCCACTCGACCAGACAGAAAAGCGGAGCGTAACTACGACCAGAGGGATTTTCCCTTCGAACGGTGTAATTAATTACATTGGCCCGGTGGCGCCTCGATACCTGGGCCCGATACGCTCTCCCCACGATTGCCTTATCTCCGTTTGAAACGCAAGAAAACAAGCGTCATTGGCCGCGGTCGCATCTCTCAACGGAAACCCGCGAGAGAGGAGAGGTATTAGCAGGTATACACGGTCAGGTAGAACTCACGTACGTTAAGGTCGTGTAGCCGGTTATTATGTAGCCGATATGGCTCCGAGGCAATTAATACTATTGTTATGATTCAGACGGATACGTCATGTGTGTGTCTGAACGACGATGCAACGCCGCGTTTTGGTCAGTATTCGACTATAATAAGTTGCAGCCACTCGGCCTCCGGATCCACACGCTTGAACCGCTTTCTAAATCGATGCATTGGGAAAAATGCGTGCGCGCTTGCCACCTGGAACGGATGTAATTAACTGTTCAGTGTTACGACGAGCGTGCAACACGGTATGGAAATATAATCGGCTATAGTGGCACGTTCCCCAAAAGGAAAAGTGAAGAGCGAAAAGGAATGCATGGAGTATGGTGCTGAAGAAAATTGAAACGCGGTTGATAATCGGTTGATGATCGTACGTATCGATTCAATGTTGGAAACGGTCGGATGAAAATTGCGGTAAGATTCTTTGACTCGTTCCAGGAATGATGGAAGTAGCGTCAAGTCGAACGTGATATTCTTCCTTATACGATGAGATTTCGCCGATATAGGAGATAATAAACGAGCAATTATGTCGAATAATAATCTGGCCGAAGGGAGATCTTTCAACGGTACGTTGATCCAAGATGCGAAAGCTATGGATGAGAAGTACGATAAGAACAATCCGCAAAACAAAAGCAACGAGGAAATGGTGAAAAAGTCGAGCAAAGGGACTCAGATTGATTTTATCCAATTGTCTTACGGTACCCAGAGAATCAGGCCACCTTCATTGGCTTATCTGTCGAAACAGACCAGCGAATCAAATTATCCAAGCTACAACTCGAAGAGCTCGTCTCAGAGCGAGTTAGCTCTGTCGCCAAGAAACAAGAACAATCGTTACGTAGCTTTGGATATGAGATCGATGAGCAGCCTTCCATTTTCGAACAGTCATACCTCGATAAATAACACGCCGTACACATGTTGCTGTACGTGCGCGGGATCGCCAGGATCTCCAACACCCTCCTCCAGACAAATGGAGGAGCAGGACGGTCCTGAAGGTCTTTCGTGGAGGAGGTTACACATGAGCAGAGCTAAATTAAAAGCTACCGCAACAACATCGGAATTGTTGAGCGGTTTCGCTATGGTGAGTATATATATATATATATCTCGTTTTTCC